ACCGCTGTGCAGGTGGGGAATCCGGGGCTCAGAGCTGGCTGGCTCTAGAAGTAAGTGGCAGAGCCAGGACTCAAACTTGGAGGTGGCACAGATAACTTACTTTCAGAGTTACTCTCTGCCTCAGTGACTTCTGCCTTTCTTTAAGCAAAATGTATATAAAACACTAACATATTAAATACAGGTTAAAACGAGTAATAAAACAACAACAAGCAGCAGCAGTACCTAGCGTTTTCAGAACGCTCTCCACGAGCCAGGCTCACGCCTAAGGCTTCTGGAAGGGCCATTCAGGTGCCCACACCGGCCGACAGGGCCGCTAGGACTATTCCCATCCCGTGAGTGACAAACCCGAGGCAAAGGGCTCAGTGCTAGAGGAGCTGGGATCAGATCTGAGCCGCTGGGTGAAGTGTGTCCAGCTCCCAGGCCTTGTTGATTGTACTTCATTGCCAGTTCCTCCAGGAAGCCTTCCCAGGTTGGCTTTAGGTCCATTTGCAATGACCACCTGTGGGGGGCCCTTCATCCCGTTCCGTTCCGACCCAGCCACTGGGATCGGGGGAGGGAAGGCCCCACACTGCTCCGGGGGAGCGGAGGGGAGGGGACGCGTGTCTTGGGCACGCACCTGGGAGGTGAAGTCATGCTGCTGCAGCTGCCGGCCCTCCCGCAAGTCCCAGGAGCGCACGGTGTTGTCCAGGCCCCCGGTCCACAGCTTGGTGCCATCGTGGGAGATGTCTATGCAGCTGGCGCCGTCCGTGTGGCCCTGGAACTGCCTGGGAAGGCCAGGCAGGGATGGGGCTGAGCCACGGGGAACACCAACTGCCAAGCTGCCGGCCGTCCCAGGGAACGGGCCAGGTCCGCCCAAGCAGAAGGGGAAGCTGAGGCCCAGGGTCCTCTAGTGAGCTCACAGCACAGCCTGACCAGGGCCCTCTCCCGCTCCACTCAAGGGTCCCGGACGGGGCAGTTCCGGGGGTGAGGGCAGGGTGCGTAACAGGAGGACTTAGCCTGACGCTCCGTGTCTTCTCAGTTTGCATTCTCATCCCTCCTCACCCTGCATGCACCTGAGGCCGAGGCCATGAATAAGCCGCATGGTTCTGTGACTAACGGGGCCAGGCCCTGCAGCCTCCGCGCTGGGGTCCAACTCCAAGGCTCCACTCTGCCCATTTCATGTGGGGGAAACCAAGGCCCCGGGGGCTAAGGGGACTTGCACAGGGTCATATGGAGGCAGGAGTCAAACCTGCTCTGCTCCCGAGGCCCCACCCTCACCCACCAGGAGACGCCGCCCCTCCGTTCTGGTCTCAGCGCCTCGCTTCCTGTCTCCGCCGCCTGCGTCTCCACTCATCTGAACGCCACCCTCCCAGGCCTGCTCCAGCTCCACCTCTGCCCAGGGCCGGCGCAAGCTCCTAGACCGAGGAGCCCTCCATCCCCGGCCCAGCCGAGCCCCTAGCACAAGCTGTCTTTCCACCCAAGAGTCCTCGCTCCACGGCACCTCGGACGGGCCAGCGCCGCGTTCCCGAGGACGAGCCCCCCGCCCCCGCCCCCCCGAGTGGCCTCACCTGACGAGGGTCTGGTTGTGCAGGTCCCACACGGCAATGTTTCCGTCGCTGCAGCAGGAGAAGCAGACTTTGGCGTCGGGGCTGATGGCCAGAGCGTAGCAGGCGGGAGCTGAGGATGTCAGCTCGGCCTTGATGCGGGGCGTGGGCGAGGCCAGGTCCCAGATGGTGAGCGTGCTGGCCTCACCGCCCACGATGAGCGTGCGCCCGTCGGGGAGCAGCTTGCAGGAGCGGATGTAGTTGTCCCTGTTCTGGAGGGAGAAGGGGGTGGTCAGCACCGCCCGCCTCCCCTCCTGGGACTAGGGGAGTCACACCAGCAGGACAGAGCACCCTGGCCACTTCTGCTCACTTCCTGCCCTCATCACAGCAGCTGCCAGGCCGTCCCTGGTCCTCTGTCACCACCTTTCAAACTGCCACTCACTTCCTCACAAAGCCCTGGAGATCAGTATCATCTCCATTTACAGACAATAAAACGGGCTCAGAGAGGTTGCCAGCTTGCCCCAAATCGCCCAACCAATATAAGGCTGAACCAGGCCGGGTCGATGGGGCTCTCCCCGGGTCCAAGCTGCCCGGGTCGCCTACACCAGCTCGAGGAGATGCCCGCAGCCCCAGGACCCTCACCAGGCAGTCCAGCTGGGAGATGGGGCTCTTGCTGCCCGGCTGGCTGATGTCCCATATCTTCACACAGCCCTTGCCGCCCGTGTAGACGTGCCGCGTGGGGTTGCTGATGGTCACGGCACACACCACCTCCCCGTGGCTGAGCGTGTTGATCTGCCGGGCGTGCCTCGGGATGCCGGGGCCTGCCAGGGCGTCGTGGGGGAAGGGCACGGGCTGCATCTGCCCGTCGGCGCTCACGTGGAAAGAGTACGCTCTGGAAGGGGGAACCATCACTGCAGCCGCCCCCAGCCCTCTGACAGCTCCCACAGGTGCTGCCCAGCGCAGCCGGCGCCACGCCTGCCCGCCCTCCCTGCCTCCAGGTGTCCCCTCCCGAGACCTCAGGGAGCCCGGGGACCCCCACCTCCTTGGCCTGGCTCCACCAGGGGGGGGCTGTTTGACAGTCCAGCCTTGACTTCTGCTCCTGCTCACACAGCCTTGCTCCAAACCAGGCCTCGAGCCCCGCGCTGCCTTGAGCAGCCTTTCCCACCGTCCACAGAACCTCTAACACTGACCCGGAAAAGGACCCAGCTTACGTGCCGCCCCTCCCCCAGAAGCTGGTGGTGTTAGGGAGGAAAATCTGTTTGACCCCCAAAACGAATCAGAGTACACATCGGAGCCAGTGGTGAGTGAGCATGGTCTGCCTGCTGTTGCAGGTCACGGTGGAGGCCAGCTGGGGGTAGAACCCACAGGAGCCCCCAGGGCCAGGGCAGCTCCACGGCATCTGAAGTGTTCCTTCTCTCTCTGAGCCCAGGACCACACCCACACCCACACCCTCACCCTCAGCCCCGTCCTGTTCTTTCAGAGGAAGCCTGGGGCTGACCAGGGGCATAGCCAGACAGCCTTTGCTGGGGCTGCAGCCTGGCCCACGGGTGCCCCTAGCGGGGCAGACACCTTTCCCCCGGGAAGGTCCACCAGGGCAGGGGCTGCCCCCTGCCCTCCCCCCGCAGCGCACAGTAAGCAAAGCCCAAGCTTACGGTTTTCCGCCAGGAATGGAGGCGAGGCTTGAGGGCAGGCCTGCGGCCCGCATGGGAGGGTGAGGGTCAAAGCCAACCTGCACGGCAAGACAAGGTCGGCCCTGAGCGAGGGGGCCGCCAGGCGTTCCCGCACCACACACTCCCCCGCCCAGCCCCCTCCCATTTTCTGTCCCACCCGCGCAGCGTGGCCTCTCGGAACCAGGAGACAGCCCAGCAGAGCCGAGCCCCTTGTTTCAGAGAGAACACGGCCCGGGACGAGAGCAGGGACAGGGTCGCAGTCCAGGCCCCCTGCCTTGACCCGGTCTCTTCCATCCCACCCCCACTTGTTCGCCCCCCACACACTTCACTGCCTCCCCTGGTATCCCTGTGGGCCTGTCATGTGAGAGGGTGGCCACTCCGGGTTCAGGAGGGCAAGAGAAGCCAGCTCCTGAGGAAGGACCCTCCCCTCTGCCGTCCCAGTGCCACCGAGCGGCTCTCAGGAGCAGCAGGCAAATCTCGTGCAACAAGCGGCCCGTCTGCCCAGCCCCGCCTGGCGGAGGTCACCCGACCCACCTCGGGACGCCCGCCCCATAGAGCCAGGAGGACGGGTGCCAGCCCCA